GCCATGCAAGTCTGGGTCTTCCTCTCTTCTGTCTTTCTGTTGGCACCCATTTCAGGACTCGTTTTGGCTATCTTTCGTCTGTCATTCGCATAACATGATCGTACCAGACGATTTGTTTTTTCTCTATTTCGTCAAGGATATATTTTTCAAACATTACATTATTTCATTATAAAAAGTGTATACATTTTTTTTGTTTCTGCTTCATGAAATTGCAGTTGGTTGAATTGGAAGCAGTTCCAGAGAAGAATGAAAAACTGATTGAGGAGTTAAGGCGACATGAAGAAAATCTGAATAAAGAGAAGGTGAAGGCAGAAGTGGAGCGTGACAAAGTGGTTGCCAGCATTCAACAAGAAACACAAGTTCTTCAAGATCAAAAAGAAGCTCTTGAGACTAAATTACTGAGTCGACAGAAGGTGACTTCTGAACTTAAAGATCGGGTGAGTGGCACATTAGTCAAATGTGTATTTTATGTAGTATGCATCAAAAATTTTTAAAAAAGGTCCCTATAAACTGGAAAATTAATCTTCTTTACATTGCATTTTATTATCATCATTTCTTATTTTAACATTTAGTTACCAAATAAATAATTTATCGAACAGGCAATCACCCAATGTAAAATCATTACACACACAAACAAAAATCTCAGCACAATCTACTCCACATCTACTCTTCAATACCACACACTATCATATCACATCATCACAAATTTACAAGAGAATAAAATAAAATGTACAAAATCACTTAAAAGTATCACAAGTATTAAAAGTAAACCTTTATTTATAAATAATAACCACAAAAATTAAATTAAGTCAATCAACATCACTCTCTTAGCAATAATATTATTGACAGAGCAATGTCAATATTATTATTATTATTATTATTATTATTATTATTATTGTTTACTATCCTACACATTCTGTTAATTGGAGAATTAAAAAATAAATTAGTTCTAGTAAATGGCAGTGCGTACAGTTCATTATTATTTCTAAGGCTTCTCTGAGGAACTTTCCAACAAACCTTGGATAGTAATGTAGGTCAATCAACATTATTATGAAGGAGATTATTAAATAACAAAAATCATTTATATCATGATAAGAGGAGAGAGAACTAATATTTAATAAATTTGCAACATGTTTATAATCATGGGATAACCTCGCTGATGGTAATTAAAGAATTTATGCTGGATGGACTCAAGTTTTTATAGGATTAATTTTCGGAGGATCCATTTTTGATAGGATTAATAATGCTGTTTTGTCATGAGGCAGTATCTCTTCAGTTGATAAACTGGAATTTTCTTTATTCTCAGGTATGATATTTTTTTATGCGATTCGCATTAGATCAATTCAGAATACAAGGTTTCAAATTTGAGAGATGGAATTTACAGGCATTGTCATCAAAGCTGTCAACTGAATCAATTCTTTTTTCAACTCATTTGATTTTTGTAAAGCATTATTTTCTCATTAATTCTAGTAACGTTTTAACATCAACCTGGGTTTTAGTTCAATCAGAATCTGGACAGAAGTACTTTACCTGCCTTTTGGTTTTCTTCAAAGCAAAAATTTCAATCACTAGCTGTCAGTTTAGTGCATTCTAGGTGAAAAATGCAATTGCACAAATCACATCTCACAAGATCAGCCTCTCCCTGTTAATTTTGCAATAAGAGAACAAGTCCTACATGTATTCATAATTAAGTTTTCAAACATCAGCACCCTCCAAGTTCCAAACACTCTGCACTATCCCCACTAGTCTGAGACTTTACCACGCGCCTCGGTGTGTGCCCCTCCATGTGATGCAGTACCACCACCCTCCAAGTTGCAAACAGGCTCTGATAATGATTGTACTTTTACTTAATCTCTTAATTTTTTAGTTTGATGTGGCCCAGTCTGCTTTGGATATTTATTTGAGCACCGAACAAAATGAAAAGAGCAAATTAGAAACAATGCAGGCAAACTTGGAAAACAGCACAAGAACTTTGCAAGAACGTGAAGAGTAAGTTTTACTTACCCTAACTTTTTTAAGTAGGTTTATGATGTAGTAGGTCTATGTTCCAGCATTCCACATTAGATCAATGTTTGAAATTGAACATTAGTATAATATCATGGAAAGAAGTAAAGTTTTTGTTATCTGCTGTTGCTGTACAAAGTATTCTTTCAAATTTGATTATTCTTATGTAGGTAATGATGTGTGTAGTGAGTTGTTGTTTTGTTTGTTGGTTTGTTCTCTCCAATGTTATGTATTGCTCATTATATTAACTAAACAAATGACTGATGATGAGAATAAAATAAATTATAAGTTTGGTCTTTGTTTTTTAAAATCACGAACTTCATTTATCATTTTAGGTATTTGAAGAAATTACAGAAAGAAATACCAGAACTTACAAAGCAGTTTCAGGAAGCTCAGACAGAACTACAAAAAGTGCAAGTTGAAGAGGCAAAGCAGTCAGATGCCCTGCGACAAGTTCGATCAAAGGTATAGTTTTTACAGGTAGTGGTGTATTGTTGGCCAAGATTACTTCAAATTCATAAATATGAATGTAATGTGTAAAATTCAGTGAAACAAAGTGAATTGTTATTCAGACACTTTTGACAAGTTTAAAAAAGAAGAAGCTACACGTCGACAGACAACCTGACTTTTGTACATTTGTACGTGGGAAGCTGGGTTCAGGTGAAGGTTGCTCTACAAAACCCCCGGGTATAACAAATACTGAGCATTTGTGGGCTAGTGAAAATCAGCCAAACCAGACACACACACACACATGGGCAACGTAACTGACTACAGTACACTCACAAGATGGTCTTTGTCCCTACACGCTGCTGAAACAGATCACCACATTGACATTACTGGCACCCACACAATTAACACAGAGGACCAATAGTGACCTTGGCCAACTCCTCAAAGAAACCCTGGGGGTAACAAGGAAGCATATCAACCTAAATACAGGCAATAGGCTTTGCCTCAACTGGAAATGGCATGTTCACACCCTGCTATTACGATTTTAACCCATGGACAACACAGCCGCCTCCCCTGCTGCTGATAGGCTGATGCTTCGCTGCCTTTCAGGTAGCTTGTAAGCGTGCAGACACTCCTTCCTGTTATTTTTCCTCACAATTTCACTGTATTTCCACTGTGACTATTTGCCATATGTCCCATTCAAATTCCTCTCCTACTATCGCACTGTTCTCTCCCCACCAATCCCACACCACTTGCCCACTTCCTATTGGTCACTGTCTTAACCAGTCTCGCCTATACCCTTCCTACTATGTAAGGTGACCACGCAAGCTATTTGGCAGCAATGATTTTCTGCAGAAAGCCACAAAATGTTGGTCGAAATGTCAGCAACCAGGACATGGACGTGGCCCGTCCCAGAATTAATATATTATCACAAATTTTAGTTATTTAAATTCTTAAAAGACTGTAATTCAGTAATTGAAATAATGCAAATTATTGGGGCTTAAGTTTACACAAGTTGAAACACACAATTTACCACTTAATAGATACTTGTCAAAGGTTTCTCCAGACGTTTAAAGTATTCATTGCAACACAAAATATACTGTGTCATGGCAAGAAATTACTTTCATTTTGCAGGTTGAGGAGAATCGAATTTCAATGCAAGCAACTCGCAGTCAGGGAAGAGTGTTGGACTTCATCATGAATCAAAAGCAAAGTGGTGCCATTGAAGGCATTATGGGGCGTTTGGTATGTGCGCAATACTATTTCATTTTTGTTCATGTATAACTTGTCCATATTAATTTTGAGACTTCTTTCATAAATTCATGTTTCAATCAGAACCTTGTTTGTTATAGTATTAACATAGCTTTTATGGCTCATTTTAATGTAGAGAAATTCATTTATAAGAATTACTTATCTCATGTTTTTAGGGAGATCTCGGTGCTATTGATGCTAAGTACGATGTAGCTGTGTCCACTGCTTGCGGTCCTCTGGATAATATAGTTGTTGACACTGTTGAAACAGCACAAGCTTGTATCAGAGCTCTAAAGGATCATGATGTTGGCCGTGCCACATTTATTGCTTTGGAGAAACAGGAATACCTTAGACCTCAAACAGAATCACGCATTAACACGTAAGCCTTCTATTTCTAGTTTTTAATTGAGTTTTCTATATCATATATTCCTAAAAATTATTTTCATATTAATGTTAATTCAATCCATCTAAAATATCTTAAAGTCAATTATAATGTTTTTAAAACTTCAATCTACAATGTTAATTAGCTTAGTTTTATGGATAAAGATAGAATTTATTTGGTTAATAAGATATGTGATATTTTTTTATGTTAAACCATGAAATTATTAAAGATGATGTACTTGTAGCCTTGAGTAAACCTCAGATATACCCAAGTTGATACTAGTCAAATATCTTTAAACTTTTGATGACGAATAAGCTGGGAAAGAAATTTAAGGTTGCTCCATTTCAATATTTAGTCAAGTTAGGGCCCTGAGTGTCACTATTAAAGAATTGATTCATGGCACATTTTTTTTAATATAGTTATCAAAGGCAGTATTATTACTGTATATACACAAATATACCCACATATTTTTTTCAAAAATTGGTGTGCGGGTAATATTCGAGACAATGTTGATACCGTAGACTTGAAGCGTGTTGCACGTTGTAACATGGCAGCATGGCTTATACTTCGTTTTTTATAACTTGGCGTGTCAGGACCTATCTTCACGATGGAATGACTCACGGCATTTCACGTCTTCCTCGTCGTGCTGCTAATGTCACATGATAGCGATGATATTAAGCACTGCTTGATACAGTCATGACATCTAGTGGCACAACCGAGAAAGATGTGAAATGCCTGACATAATGCCACTGTGTAGACGCAGCTTTATAAAAATTTCAGCCTTGAGACACAGCTTTATAACTCTAACCAGTGTTAATCAGTGGGCCTTTCGAGTACAAACATTCCTTTTTTCCTCCCAAGATTCCTTATCAGAAAATTTGGGTGCAGGTAATATTAGAGGATGGGTTAGATTTGAGTATACACAGTAATAATGTAACTAGATTCTGCTCACAAATGGAAAGAATAAAAATAGACGCGTTCCTTGGTACTTAACTTACAGTGATATTGGTAACAGACTCAACAACCAATGAGAAAATATTGCCAAGTACATTTCTCTATAATTTTCTATTCGAGCACTTAGTCATTTATGTGAGAATCTTAAAACCGGTTTTCTTGGAAATATGGCGTTGTTGAGGTTGCTGAGGTGAATCATAAAATGAAACAAATGCCACACAAATTAACATTGTTTTCGATGGGGTTTTAGCATTACTTTCTCTGAAATTTAGAAAGTAGCTAAAGTATGTCTAGTTTTTAAAAAGGGTAAAAGGTCTGTAATTGAAAATTATAGACTGATATCTATTTTATCAAACTTTAAGAACTTGGAGAATTATATTTATGAGCTGACATCGTTTACACAGTCTTCTCCAAAGCATTTGACATTCTTAACCATGTGTTGTCATGAATAACAATAAATTACAATTTTTTATCAATCAATAAATTACAATTTTTAGATTTACCATCGAATCATTTATGTTTAGTGGAATCATATTTGGAGAGGTGTATAAATATTGTGAACTATCCAGGCTATAAATTAAAGCCTTTGTGCATTTCTCTAGTGTTCCTCAGCGCTCAAACTTGGGCACCCCTGCTTTTTGCTATTGTGGAAAATACTTAAATTAAATTCTTGTTAGTATATGGTGATGACACAAAGCTTTTTTCTACCTATCTATTCTGCTGAGGACTCTGCAAATTTACTACGAAATTTGGATTTATTTGTAGAATAGTGTAAGGGAAAGGTTTTTTTATTAAATCACGGAAAACATCAAATTATGTTCTATTATAGAATTTTTAGAGTTGATTATTCTCTCAAACACCGAACTTCAAAGATTGGAAATTAAGAGAGACTTGAGAGTAATCTTTGATAGGCAGCATAAATTTATGCATATTGAATATGTTATTAACAAAGCAAATAAATCATTTGGGTACTTTCTGAGATTGGAAAGATGATTTAATTCACTTCAAATGTAGCAGGTTTATTATTTCTCCATCGTACAAACAAGGCTAGAATATGCATCCATTATCTGGGTGCCAGGTAGAATTGGTTTATGTGCAATACTTCAATAGTGTCAGTGACACTTTGTCAAATAGAGACAAACCTCCGTATATCGAATCTGAGTAAATCTAGTAATATTCGATATCTAGAGACAATTATGACAGTTTTCCAAAACTGTCATGTTTCTATCCCTTATGAACTCACCCACTTGAAAACAGCATCATCCACACTATATCAACTCAATTTGATTTAATCTTTTATATTGCTTAATTAGATAATTGATAGAGTCAACTAATAAATCAATTTAAGAATCACAACGTGCAATAAAATTATTAGTCAACTCCTTCATTTGTACAAGTACAAATTATTAGTTATTTAGGATTTTAAAAAATCCTGTGATAGCAAGACCTTACTTGTGGAATAATCCACATGGGGATCCACATGGTGGATAACACAGGATTTTAAAAAATCCTGTGATGGCGAGACCTTAATTGTGGAACAGATAGTGAAACCTGTCAACAGATCTGGAGCATGTACAGTTACCCAAATAATCATAATCAAACTAAGAATCTGCTGCATATTTCTTATAATTTCAAGACTATCAAGCTTGAATCTGTTGTCTAGGCATTTACTAACAATTCCACATGGTGGATAACATTCTGTTTCTTTGTAGTCTCAGTATTTAGCAAAATGTCTTTGCTGCATTTCAAGCATTTTAATAAATCTAAATCTATCCTGAGACAACACTACAAACGCATATTCATGTTTTGATCTTACAACTGCAAAGAAAAGTACTCGAAACCCTTTAATGGTCCTGCCCACTCTAAAAACTGTAATAACTAGTTTGATATTAGGTTTCAATTTCAGTTGATGATAAAATATTACCCCGAATCTTTTTTTTAATTCTAACCTTATCAAGAGTTCTACCAGAAATTTTATAGTCAAAATATGCAAGTTTTAAATATCTTAAATGGACATTATTCAACACATGAAGGTGCAATGGAAGTTTATTGTGCCTATAATATAATATGCATTAAAAACTCACAATAAATGCATACACACAAGTACGAAAATCAACAAAAGTACAAAATAAACTGACAATAAAATAAAAGCCTCATTTGCCTCGTAGTATGTCACAACACACACACACACACACTCAAACAAAAATCTGCCATTGTTTCTCCAGCAACTCTGACTGGGAGATCACAGGGTTGTGATAAATCCCAAATTAAATGTTATGACAATATGATTTCAATACGTCACCACCATGTAATGAATCCCAAATTAAATGTTTGTATCTTACAGAAAATATTCATTAAATACATGTCACTGCAATGTGTTGAATCCCAAATTAAATGTTTTCATCTTACAAAAAACTATCCATTCAATAGTATTTTGAATTTAAAATTGAGAACAAAACTCTCGAAACAATGACTTTGCTGGGCATAATGCAATTGTTGTCTGAATTGTCGCCAACTTAAGAGCACCTCCATCATCCAAAAGTAACACCAACTTTGTATTGTAGCTAAAAATCAGAAAATAAAAATAAAAATGTGAGAAAAGGGAGGGATTGGACCATGCCCTCCTTGTGGATAATTGAATATGTTTGGAAATTTTACATAGAATTGTCAGAACACGACACTCGATTTTAAAGGGGGAAACTAAGCAGAAATGTATTTTGCAAAACAAAAAGACAAAAACATATTTAATCCTTTACCCCTTTTGTGTGCAAGAGGTTATGCTGACTGACTCATATACTCCACAAGACGATTGAACCATTGCACTCTACCAGCTGTTGATGTGAACATGTGCACTCTGGAGTGGTCAACTGCAACTTTAACTTGTTAATAAATTACATCTCTATCTCAATTATAGATGATTCCAATGACTCCTTTTTTTGGCGGTTTTCCCAGTCATACTGTTGACAAAACATATTGTCTAGTGATTTGAGAAACAATGAAAATTATTTCCTGTTTATTCTCAATTATGGTCTTCCCTATTTGTAAACTCGAACTCTCACTCATACCTTCAATTAAAGTATTACGTGATCGACATGCTCGCTCATGAAATTCAGCGTAGACAGACTCCAACATCTTCGAAAGAACAGTTCAAAATCACGAGAAGCCTTATTTCATTTCATCTGTTTTCTCATATGATTATACTTGCTGTCTTTTTACAAGTTTTTACCGGTCTAACATGTTCTAATGTCTACATTATTTCCATCAGTTGTGCGTTTTTCACAGAACCAAACATTTTTCTAGTTGTTGATGTCAAAGCGAAAACTTCAGTTTCCGATGAGGTAAATTTTCTGCGTTTTGGATTTTCATTCCACTGCAAAATATCTCACTGGGCGAAGTCTTCTCCACAGTTTTTATTTTTGGTGACACTCTTTATCACAACCAGATGACATTTTTGTGTGTTGAAAAAGTTACAGGCATAATAAATGCAAGTTGACCATGTGAGAAAATATATATAATTTGTATCAATTTCGATATAATCCATAGTCGATCTGTAACGTCAGAACAAAAATAGGTCTGACTCCGAACATAGACAGACTACATGGGTTAATAAAAAATATATGTCTTGCAATCCAAGAAATAAACTGTAACAAGGAATATGAATTTGCTTTGTGTGTATGCAGTTTGTTTGTATATGTTGGTGTGTTTATGTACTTGTTGACAGTGTCTTTGCAAAGGATGTCTGTCTGTGTCGGATGTCTGCAATTGACACGAAAACCTTAACTGTGCATAGTTTTTCAAAATCTGTGAAATATGTAATTATGTTTCGTTTCCAAACTAGTTAGATTTACTTCTCAAAATGGTGTAATCCAAACAAAATGCATTATCATTTTTAATGAATGTTCGGCACAAAATATTTTGCAAATTACATAATGGTTATGCAGTAAAATCTGTCTAAACGTCTAAACGGGAACCTGTACAGGCGAGAAATGTGCCTTAAACAGAATTTTTTCTTACCTGTGAAAACAAATGGCATTTTACACAGCATAAAATGGAACCTGTCCAATGCGGGAATGGAACAGTTTGTCCTTTAAAGTTCTCCTCCTGGGGGAACCTTTATAAAACAGAATTACTGTGAATTTAATGCAATTAGCTGAGAAACACGAGATATTCTTAATGAATAAAGTGCATCTGCAAGTCTTATTTTAATTGCTCTGTCCCTGTGATATGCATTTCAGTCATTGCAGTCACACAGTGAAGGAGAGAGACTTCATCTGTCAGTGTATAATTTGACCTTGTGGTCGCTTTTCTTTCAAGAAACAAGCCATAGGGGAATTCCCTCCATCCTGGCTCTCTAAACCTGGGAAGGTGTATGGTCATGGATTTTATTTACACATCTCCTGGCCCGGAGTTGAGAATCATAACCCCACGACCAGAGCCGAATTGGTCAAGGCTGTACGAGGGTATCAGAAAGATAAAGTACTTAGGGCTGTGACACATTGTGCATTGAAAGAGTCAGTGAGCAAGCGTTCCGCTTCAGCCACTAGGCGAGAGGTGTTGTGTTTTTGAGTTTCACAACCTGTTCAACAAGGATTGGAAAAAACCATCAAACCCCAAATACAGTTTTTCAACTTCAGGAAACATATTTGAAAACGTGTTAGTAAGTGGGAAAATCAAAAAAGCAAAAAAACTAGGGGTTAATTGTAGGAAAAAATATTAACTTAGTGCACAAGTTTTCCATTCAATTGTCAGAAATATGTTTATATTAATTTATTAGTGATTTCTTCTATAAATGTTATTTGTTAATGTTTTTATAATTAAAATAGTTGTATAATTTACTAGTTTCAGGACAGAAATATCAATATAACAAGTGTTATAAAACTGAAACATTCTTAAACTAGAATAAATTTTTGTTCCGATCGGTTCCACCTTAAACAGATTTTACTGTATCTTTTTGTTTCTGAATATGTGATTTTATTTTTGTGTATTACCAGTTAATATTATTGTTTTACTCTGAATTTTTAGACCTGAAAATGTTCCAAGATTGTTTGATCTTATAAAAGTTCAAGATAATTCTGTCAAGACCGCATTTTACTATGGCTTACGTGATACACTAGTTGCAAATGACCTAACTCAGGCTACAAGGATTGCATATGGTAGCAGGCGTTACAGAGTGGTAACTTTGGAAGGTCAACTTATTGAGACGTCAGGTAAAGAACATTTTGAAAAATTGAATTTATTTTTTTATTGTTGAGTGGTTCTTAAATTTACCTACGTAACACTACAATTTACGACAAAATTACAAATATGCTTATTTGTACTCAAACAATTTTCTATGGAAATTACATTCTTTTTGATTTCCAGATATTTACTAGACTTTTCCAAAAGTTTTATCGCTGTTTTCCTTAAGAAATATATTTAACGTTTGTGTAATAGAAATGCAATCATATGTTCTTTTGTAGGCACTATGAGTGGAGGAGGTCGAACCAAATTACAGGGGCGGATGGGTAACAAAATTGCTGGTCCTTCAGTGTCACCCCAGGAACAGGAAAAAATGGAGCGAGATTGTGAAAACCTTGAGGCAGTAGTTATCAAACTCCGACAGCGCCAATCCACACTTGAAGAGCAAGTGCAACAGATCAATTCATCACTTCCACAAATGCAAATGAGACTAAAGAAGGGCAGTATGGAGATTCAGGTTTGTGCAATTAATGTGTCGTACGTTGATATTTTACTCATTGATTTATTCAGTAATATCCCTTGTAAAGGTTGTAGTAAGTAATATGCATCAGAGTCAATGTAATTTTTTTCATTGTGTGATATGCTCTCATAATGTAATGATTTGGCTTTAAATCATGTCACTAGTGAGTGGATTTTAATGAAATGTCATCTTTTTCTTTGATTAATAAGTAATTTTTAATACATTTTTTGCTGATTTAATCAATTTTCATATTATTTTTATGGTACTTGTTTCAAACAATATTTACGAGGTGTAAGAAATATTCACCACAGATTCCCTGAGTAGCCTTTTCGATTTCTTTGCTCATGTATGGTCATGTCAGCCATTATTAGTCCTATGTAATAAATTAAGACAAAGATTCTGATAACTTTCTCAATAGCTCAATAATGCTAGGAGGAAGATGAAACCTTCCTTTTTTAACATTCTGTTTAAAATTTAATATAATTTTTAATCCTCAAGCAGGGGCACTGTGGACAATAGTTGGAGATGTGTGTTTATGTCTTTTGGTTTGTTTTGTGGACTGGAATAACTTTACTAAGCTTTCACAATTTAGGAAATATGCCAGAACGTAGTGATGAATCAAATAGAAGCCAAATTGAATAAGAAATTGAATATTGAGTGTTAAAGAAAGATGTTAGGTATTAGGAAAGCACCAGTACCTTTGTTGGCATTCAGCCTACCAATCCTCCCAAACAGAACAGTCAGACTTAGAATATTAAAATTCAGTTAGGTAGAATGATTCGCAGAGTTGTTATGTGTGATGTATAAAGAAGAGGGGTCAGGTTTAGAGTACTGTGATTGAAAATACCTGGCAAGCAATCAAGAAGCAACCGTGTAGTTCTTGCAGAGTGAATCCCTCCATAAAAGATGGATTGGAATCTGATGGTTTTCTTGAGGAAATTAATTTTTCTCGATAACTATAAAAAGAATTGCAACCTTTAGGATGGCTCACACATCACTATAAACAAAATGTGGCATTCATTATGTGGTTAGTGTGGATTCATTCACTACACTCCTAAAAAGCCTTCTGTTAAGAAAAGGGTGAACATCTAACAATTTTTAAAATATTTGATGATAAAGGAAAACACAATAGGAACATTATCTTCAACAAGAATAAACAGCGCATTTATTTTTAGAAGAAACATTTCATTATTTAAGCCACAAGATGAAGACTGCTATTCTGTTTCCTAGATATTTGCAAAGAATAATAAAAACAACCTCCAAAAGTTTGAGGTAACACTCAGCAAACACTTAAACTCTCTGACGCTCTATAGACACTACAAACGTTTTAGCTATGCACTACACCATCGGCACACTGGCAGTTGAGGGGTAGAACCATTTACAAAACATATAGTGCAATTTTTAGTAATTCCTGAGCACCTGGCCTCAGGGTGCTATGCTAATCCACTTCTGACTTTTATTATGTTTTATTATACATGAACAAGGCAATTTGTTTACATATAACTGATCAAATATCTATGTTTGCAGTTGTTAAAAAATCAGCTGCCTGTTTTGAAAGACCAATTGAAACAACAACAACAGAAGCTGGAAAAAGCAAAACCAGATCCGAAGGAAACAAAGAAATTAGAAGAAACTAGGGATGCTGCACAGAAAGGTCAGTTTTTATTTAAATTATGAGTACTTGCTGATTACTTGGCATTGTCTTGGCATTTATTTTGCACAATCGTGTATTAAATTTCCTTGCCCTCTGCAGCTTTCCTCCACCGGATCTCCCCTCTTTCTACACGCCACATCCACATTTCTGGCTTTACTGCCTTAGCCATCTCCTCCGCTGAATCTGCACATTGTCAAGTCTGGTCTCCCAACAGCTCTTCCATCCCACCTCACCCTTCCCCTCCTACACATTGGCTTCTCCCTGTAGGCTTGCATACTATTTTTAAATTTCACCCCCTTCTGACCATCACCTCAAGTGTTACTATGAGTGGCTTGCCTTTAAATTATTTTTACTTTTTCACCTACTTCTTACATGGTATAGAGAAAGTATTGTAATGTTGCGGGGAAAAGTAGTGATTTTTCAACCAAAAATCTTATGGTCGGGTCATGGTAGCAAAAAAATGAATAAATCTGGCTCCTATACGCAGTAAATTACTTCCACTAATACATGTAGTCAGAATCCACATTTGGTTGGTCCTTGATCATGAAAAATTGATTGACGGCAAAACGTCTGGCCATTGTGGTTAACACTAGCACCTAAACAGTCCACAGTTTTTTTCAAAATTGATTTCCATGGTCAAAACTTTGGCAATTTTTAAACTCTTTTCTTTTTTTTTCCCTCAAAAATGGCTCTAATTTTTTCCTTATATGTAAGAAAGAACAGTAAAGAAAATGGTGCTGATCCTATTTTCTGTGAACTCTATAATTTCAAAATTGCAACTGTACAATATTGGTGATTTGTTTTTTTAAAATATCTGTTCAAAACAATCAGTTCTTTAAAAAAGGTAACTGCAATATTTTAAAAGTGTGAGATGTTAAGCATAATTTTGCAAGTATCTATCTGGAGTTCAGATTGCATTCCAACAATGGAAATGCAGTGACACTGCTGTTTGAAATTCGTAAAATAACTTCTCATTCTTGGGGATGTTCTTGGTTGAACATTGTTTTGGATTGTCGAATTTGTTTTGACATATTAACTTAAGCTTTTGAGCCTAATTCCCTACTAGTGTCAATGAGTTTTAAAAGTGATAGCTGAACAAGTTAAAATGGACAATTATTGCACTATTGTAATTTCATGTAACCATTAGTAATGCGAGAAAGTGTGTGATGTTGTTGCACCACCAGTTTCCAATTGTAAACAATATGCGTGTGTCAAATTCTCTTGAAATTTCTGTAAAAATTACTGCTATCCTGGTACACTCGAGATCAGTTTTCAAAATGTTTACAATTAATAGAAGAAAATGTACCAGTGCCACTGCAGAGTCCTAAAGATGTTTGTATGTCCGAGTCATAGGCTTATAGTCTGGAACAATCACAGTCAGTCTGGCTGCATTGTAAAAATTGATAATTCAAATTATTTGTATGTACTTACATCCATATGGACCTTTACCTTTGATGAAATTGAGCAGGTCCATTTTTATTGATCCAAGGATGTTCAGAACTTTTAAGCTTTTAAACAGAGCTCTGCGAAGCATTAGATACAGTGGGGGCCAAACGACCAACTCTGTCTTGTAATGTCTAAATGACTTTTGGGAACCCATTTCCTTATGTTGCTATTACACTTCCAGGCTCCCGTTCTGAAATTCCATCTCCTATGCAACTCGTCTTGGATGATGTGAAATATTTAGGAGTTCCTTACCCTGGATTTTGAGTGAAGGTTTTCACTGGTACAGAGTTAAGCTGAAATGTGAAGAGCAAATATTTGAATAGGAAGGACAGAAAAGAAAGACATAAGAATGAGGACAAAAGCCTAAATGAAATAAGTTTTTTATGACCATTTGTATAAATTTAATGGAATTGTGTATCGTAATTATGGACAGTGAACATCTTCAACATAATGGCATAACATAATTTATTTCTTTATGGAACTTCTCTAAAAAGTAAATAACTTTTGCAGGTACATTTCATGTATATCAGTACATCTGCTTCCTCAGATACCTCTAACTGTACTGCTTCCTCAGATACCTAACTGAAATATCGAATTTATAATAATTACATTTGTTTCAGAGTTGTCCTCCTTCCTCACTTTCCCACTCTCTCTACCAAGTGTTATCTCTTCTCCACTCACATACTATGTAGCCTGTTGGTATCATCCACTTTTCACGTTGAATCTGTTAACTCTCAAGGTATGACAACGCCCTGGGAAAACACCTCTTGAGCTGTTGTTTTAAAAATATTTATTTTGTGTTATGCACTTCTTTGGACAATGATCTTCTAAATATGGCAACTATAACATTTTATTATTGGTTGATGCTGATGTCGTAGTTTGAAATGTTTTTAATTGAAATTATGTAAGATGAGTCTTAATATTGACTCTTTCATTCTTATATCTTGTGCAGATTATTTATTGCAATAATTTGTCTTTGCAGTATTTATTATTATATTACTAATTAGTTCTGATTATTTTGTAGCTACATAAACCTAAAGAAGCAGACGTATTGGCCCATGAAACATACCTATAAATGTTTTTTAATGTAAAGAGAAGTTCCATAGTGAAATAAATTCATCATTCATTTTACGCCATATGTTGAAGATGTTGACTGTCTGTAATTAAGATACATAATTTCATTAAAAGAACCTAATGAATAATGAATCTAAGTAACCTAATGATAATACAACGCATTGATTTGTATGAATTAATAAAGGAAAAATTGAAGGGATAGACTTCTGCATATGATCAGTCAATCTCCCATTTTGGCATGGAGAAAACAAGGCTGTGTAGCTATTACTTTCCAGCAAGGCACTTAGAGAGGGGATGGCAATTGCTACATCCTTAATTCTATAATTTTTAATTGTTTAATTATTTGTTTTGTTTTATTATTAACTATTGATTGTTTCTTTATTTTATAGAAAAACTTTTTTCTCATGACTGTGTAATATTAATATTTTTCTTTCTTTCTTCTTCCTCTCATGTGTCGTCAGTGACACACATATTGGTGTCGATTTGCCTGAAAAAACTGATTCTAAAGAATATGGCAAAATAAAGCAATTCATCTACCCAGAAGATTATGCATAAATTTCAGTTTTTAAGAAATATTTTGTAGTATGTGAAATATTTGTTTTTCTATCATAATGGTACTCATTGCAATTTATAGTTATTCTGATTGTTGTGAAAGATTTGTGAACCATAAGTCTTTATCTCATAATAATGTGAAACGTTTCATAACAACCCATGACTTTCTTGCAGAGTACAGTGAAGCCGAAGAAGAGAAAAAGACTGTTGAAAGAGAGGTCAAAAAGATCCATAACAAGATAATGGAAAAAACAAAAGGTCGAGTTGCTGCTTGTCAAAAAGTTGTTGATGATATAAACGCAAAACTTGGCAAAACTCGAAAAGAATGCACTAGTTTGAGTGTTGCTATCAAAACTGCAACAAGGTGAGATGGATTCCATTTCAACCACATTTGAGCAATTTTTCAGAAATGAATTTCAGTTTGTAGGACAGACTTAACACTCGCCCTAATTTTCTAATTATCTTAATTCCTAATAAATTTCCTTTCGAGGGAGGTTTGTTCACATTCTTACAAAGGAATGGAGGGAAATCTTGCAAGTATTTCTTTCCTTCATTAATCATCTTTCGACCATTACATGAGTAGCCTTTCTTTGTAAGAAGCAAAAATATTGTAATTAAACTTCAGAAATTAGTGATTTTTTGACTGAAAACTGGGCACTGTGATTATGAAAAGTGGATAAATCTTGATCCTGTATGTAGTAATTACTTTTCTAAAATGAATGGTCACAATCCATGGTTTTTTGATCCTTAATACCAAAAATCAATTGACAGGTACTTAAAAGAAACATGAGAAGGTGCATGTAGGAAGCATTTGGTGAACATGTTGGGGGATATGTGGGAGATTGTCTACAGAAATATTTGATGGGGAAGCGAGTTCTTTCTGTTCAGTTTTTGGGGATTTACCGTATTTACCTGAATATAAGACAACCCCCTTCCTAATTTTGAAGAGGCCTTCTGAGAATTTTTTAAATTTTAAACTAATTCGTACTATTTAGTCAAAATAAAATTACAAAATGACTTTTTGAATAAAAAAAATTGCCTTGTTGATGCGAATGTTAAGACTTCAAGCTGAACTATTATTTTCTTGTTTCTTAATATCATCATAATCATGGTTTTGCCACTACCCTCATCATCTTCACATGTATCAATGTTTCTTTCTTTTTGGTCCTCCTTCCATCCTGGCATTAACTTTTTAGGCCCCTTTTGAAAGTTTTGCAGACTAAATTTGCATTATTCATAGTCTTTCATCAGGCACCATCTAAGAACATTTCCTTCTTTTGCCAGATTTGCTATTCATCCTGCATTTGTTGATGGCCTCTGTTTCTGTTCAAAATGCAGATTCGCATTCGCCGTCCACGGAACTAAGATTCCCCGCTGCCTCGCCGTATCCACATTGTGTAACAAACTCTTGGCATTCATTTTCTCATTACGTTTCATTTGATACAATGCCATTCGGTTAGATATTTTCCTTATTGGCTTATTCAAAAATATCGGTCTGAATTTCCCCCATAAATTCATGGTAGATGCTGAGAATATGAACGCAAATATAATTTCATATTATTAAGCATGATGTTTTGACTGTCTTCAGTTTTTTGTTACGCCAACACTTATGAGTTTAGTGTCATGCATGTATAAACTTAAATCCTAACTGACTAGGCTTAATCTGCGAATGTAAGACAACCTCACATTTGTTGACTGAGATATTTTGGGGAAAAAAATAGTCTTATATTTGGGTTAATACGGTAGATCTTCTGAAAACCCCTGCTTTAGGGCAGGTAAGAGCTGATTATAAAATTCAAATATCTTTAAAAGTTAGTCAATCTATCAGTATGGATCTTGAAAGTGGTAATCACAGTTCAGGGGTTGGCTTTTCCAAGTTGGGATCCAGTATGAAGTTACTTTTACCTATAACAGTGATTTATAAAGTGTGGAATGTTTGCTCCGGTCCAGCTAGTGAGGTTTAATATGCTAACCACTCATTTCTTGATCCTTCATTCACAAAACTATTTTAAAGGTTTAATTGTATCTGATCTGATTTTATTTTAATATCAATGCAGAAATCACAAAATTTGTCAAGATAAAATCAAGAACTTGGAAATTGAAATAGAAGAAAGTGTCAAAAAACTGATGGACCTGAAGGAACAAAAAGAAACATTTGAACAAGAAGGCAATAAACTCCTTACCGAAATGGATGATCTTGCTGTAAGTATAAGAGTACAAATTGTTTTTTATGAAGAATGTCTGTTGGAGAGAACAAACCTCCATTATCGAATCTTACACGAAAAATTACTTGTTGAAATTTTACAAGTGTTTGGACAGTACTAAGAGTATATCATTCTGAATAGCAGAAAGTGAAAGGGCTTAGTATGTGAGTGATGCAGTTGCAGCATCAAACAAGTATTTTTTATGTCAAGGTCCTTCAAGATATGCTGTAAAAAGCATGAGTGTGGAGGGAATTATAAAATTGTGCTGGTTAGTCAGTAAATGTTTTGTTAGAAATGGTGAAGATACCAGTGCAAAATTTTTCTTTTATTGATTAACTATTAATGGTTGTAAATTTACATGTACATTTCAAGTCTGAGTCCCCATAATCATAAGAGAACACTGACTTCATATGCACACATTACCTGGTTGTATATTTCCTGTTTTGCTTTTTAGGATGTAATTGTGCAAAAAGAAACTGAAAAACTTGAGCTGAAAGAAAAGCAGCCTGACATATCTGGAAACAAAACAAACTTGAGGAGCAAGAAACTTGAAAAAGAACAGAAATTAGAGGCTTGTCTAAAACAGATTAATGATCATCAAAATAGCATCATTAATTATAAAAAGAAGGTGAGTTAATGAGTAATTACTAATGAAAATTGATGTATCTCTAATAATTAAGCTTGAAGTTTGCTCTTTTTGTTAATTTTAAGAGAGTTGATGGCTACTAATCCACAATCAAGCACAAACATTCAAAAGCAATTGGCCAAGTTTAATTTTGTCTGTAAATGCATTCTTCACTTTCTCACTACTGCTTATGCAGTTTAGAACATGTATTCTAATGCTGTTGGAAATAACGAAAAATTTTAGGCACAAAAACTGAGGCTTCAATGGGGCACTCCAATATGTTATTTCACCTGACCCAAATTTGTGTGTTATATGAACATGTAATAGTCTTCATAAGACAATGGCTATCTTGCAGTTACTGGTGTACTCAGTACAGATTCAAAATTCACATATCTGCATGAAGAAATCTTCTTCCACAGTGTTCCCATATTGTCATTGCTTTGTGTGACAGACTTCACTGTTGGAAGCTGTCTCAATGTAACTCAGGTTGTAAATTCAATTACAAATTTGGTTACACTGCTTAATCTATAGTCAAGAATTTACACTCCATATTGAAGAATTTATTGTGGTCATATATTTAAAAGAAATTGCATGATAAATAATTGTGATGTTCTTGAAAGACTGTAGAGAGTTTTCTTTTTGTAATCGTTCTTTTAGTTGATGTTGAGAGTTTTAGAAACACTGGAGGTAGCATGTATGATGGTTGCGTTCAGTCTGTATTGCTTATGAGAGTTATTCTTACCTTGTTGACTGGCTGTGTCTTTTGTGGATTTGCAGATTAAGGAATTAAAAATTCATGAAGTTCCTGGGAAGCCTCTTGTGGAGTTGAAAACATACACCTTGGAGGAAATTACTGCAGTTGAAATGGATCGGCTTCAGTATGAAGTGAGTGTGAAGGAGCAGAATCTTTCTGAAAAAGCTCCAAATTTAGCAGTGCTTGCAGAATATAAGGAAAAGGTAGGTCATTATTTCTCATTTCCTGTAAGTTGCAATGCTACAAAACAAGAAAATCTTAAAGAGCATTGGTTTCATATTTAGTTGTCTGATTTTCATACTGTTCGTTGGTTTTTACTTCCTCACATACTGCTTACGAAGTACAGTTTGCAGGAAAACATGGTAATTTTTGCCAGAGAAATTCTTTATTGCTGGAACTTGGTGACACAAAAAGTGGATCAATCTTGTTCCTATATGTTGTACATTACTTCCTCTAACGTGTGTAATGAGAATCTTATGTTTTGTGGATCCCTCTGAAGCTCATTGGTGATTTGTCTTTCAGTGTCTTTAACTGTGGGTAAAAGAGAGAGATTGTGAACCAATAATTCGGAATAAAATTTTTAAAGATTTGTTTTAGCAATGTATAAGCTCTGTTATACTTTGTAAGAAGGTAACATTGGCCTGTGACATAATAGGCTCCGGAACCCTGATATTGCTGGGATAATTGTTAATATTCAGGTTGAGGAATTCAGAGATCATTGTTGAGTATCAAGCTGTTCAGTGTGAAATCATAAGATACAGAAAAATAATCTTTATTCAGTAAATAGGTAAATTAATGGATTTGGAATAGGCCGCTTAAAGGAGTCTAAATTACATTGGTCTCAGAGAAAAATAATTCTGTTTCCAAAATATTCAGTTGAGAAGAGGAATTTCTTTTTTAGTGATCCAATAACACACCATTCCTAATTTTGTTGTTGTTGGTGTGCAATTGCTTATGCAAATATTCTGTGAAAATTGTTTTGAAGTATACACTACTACTGTCTGGACTTTCTTTGTTTTAGACCGATTTATTCATCCAACGAACAAATGAATTAGAAGATGTAACATTACATCGTAACAAAGCCCGACAGTTTCTAGAAGAAGTAAGACAACAGCGTTTGTCAGAATTTCTGGACGGCTACAGTATTATCACTCATAAGTTAAAAGAAATGTATCAAATGCTCACTCTGGGTGGTGATGCTGAGCTAGAACTTGTAGACTCTCTTGATCCCTTCAGTGAAGGAATTGTTTTCAGGTAAGTGAGATTTTTAACAAATGTGGTGTCTTGTGTTACACAATTTTCAAATAATAAGAATCATATATATTATTTAGTAGTTTGAGGTTACCGTATTTACTTGATTATAAGCTGATTGTAAACCGACCCCAAGAAATAATAAACGAAATAACGGGGGATAAAATAATTATTTAAACTTAAACGTAATTATTAAATTTATTCTTTCAAATGTAAGAAATACATTTGATACTTAGTGTACTCCGACCACTCATTTCTATACATTTTAGAGATCATTGTGCGACTCGTAGTCCTCACTCGACTCTTTGTCATTTTTGTCCATGAAAAGGAAGTCATTTCTGCTGCAGTCAAGGGCATTTGAGATTGAACACTTTTTAAAAGCCCTTGCGACAACTTCTCTAGGAATACTCTTCTAAGCTATCCAAGCGCACACTTGATATAGACTAGCCCCTTTTCACACGCCCTGTTGGCGTGAGCATTCTTTCTTCTTTGGAGAGCCCAGGGTGAGCCAGCCTGAGTACACTTTCTTCAACCTGCCCTTGAATGGTTTGTTGATGCATACATCCAGAGGTTAAAGTATTGACGATAGTCCCACTGGAATAATTGCCAAGGCGGTGCCGTGTTCTTTCAATTCCTTCACCACCTCGGTAGTGTGGGCCACGTAAGAGTCCAAAACCAGGAGGCTACATAACCTCAAAAAAGCGCTAGGGCGACAATGCCACACAAACTGAACCCATTGTAGCATCATGTCTTAGGTCAACCACCCTTTTTCATTTGCATGTACAATAAAGCTCTTACGAAATGATGCTGATTTTGGGAGTATCTTGCGTTTGAACACAACAAATGGAAGTAGTTTATGTACGTTCTACTGTGTCGACTGCGTGAATGATGAAAAATAGGATCTTTACAGATGTCTGGTGTCAACTACGTTATAGCAACACTCTGACACCGATTCTAAGCCGAGGGTCGATTTTTGAACTACAAAAAAAGGGGGGGGGGGATGGTCGGTTTATAGCTGGGTAAATACGGTATTTTAATTTTTCATGAAAATTATGAAAAACTCTAAATCCCCCCCTTCTTTATAATTTTTGGAAGTTCCATTGTGTGCACACATGCGGAAAGGTACTATTTTCTTTAGTGTTTGAAAATTTCACTATACATCAAATGATTGAAGTTTTCTGAGCAATCCTCTGTTGACATGGAAAGTGTAATATTGGTTGAAAGTTGAGAGCTGAATTTTCTTTTGTTACTTTGACTCGTTCTTCTGCAGTGTACGCCCCCCTAAGAAGTCCTGGAAGAACATCTCAAACCTTTCAGGAGGAGAGAAAACTTTGTCGTCTTTGGCCCTTGTATTTGCATTGCACTATTATAAGCCCTCTCCCCTCTTTGTCATGGATGAGATAGATGCTGCTCTGGATTTCAAAAATGTGTCAATTGTGGGGAACTACATTAAAGTAAGTATTAATTACTTAAGTATCCACATGTATATAGATGTACATAAAAATCAAGTCTAGCAAACCTTGAATTCTTGAGAACCATGATTTTTTTTTAACTTGTTATTTCTATACAATTTATTAAATTAAACAACTTATTCTTTTTCTCTTTCTTTGTTTCCTTCTTTCTTTCAAAAACATATTAGTGTGTTGGTCAGTCAGTGGATGAACACCAGCTCTTAAACCACAGTATACAGGATTTTTTTGTGAAATAGATACTCTATGTTTTTAATCTATTTCAGCAAGGCCCTTCACATTTGAAAGAATCTTAACGCAACTCTACTTTTTGGTTAAGTTTTCTTTTTCAAATAAAGGACAGTTGCGATGAATTTGTTTTGAAGGGACGGATAAAGATTAAAATTTCGACAATTACAAAACAAACAAAATTAATTTTAAAAAAATTTGTTGTCAATAATTATCTTCCCACGCATGATGACTTTGCAAAGAAGACTCTTAAGGGTTCTTCACATCTTTGCCTCTCATTCATTTTTACTTATCATTCTATCACTGCCCTTATCTCTTCTTTCTTCTCTTTTTCTTCTTCTTCTTCTTCTTCTTCTTCTTCTTCTTCTTCTTCTTCTTCTTCTTCTTCTTTCTTCTTCTTCACTGCCCCGTTAGCTTACAGGTATGCTGAGCACCTACCCATTTGTTTTTGAAAGCCATGTGTTTCTCAAAAGTAGATACAAATTTTTTACATGGATAGAGCAAAGTACTTTTGAACTGGTCTTATTTTCATTCAACTTTCAAAAATAGCAAAAGTTCAAAATAATGCAAGAAAGTATATGTTGTTTCAGTACCAGTAGTTGTGTAGTGACTTGCAGTGAAGAAGTTATAGCAATTTAAAGCATCAATGCGATTAAACTCCTCTAAGAAATAGAAAACTTTGGCAAGTCAGTTGGCCAGAGGTATGGAAGTATTGTTAGAATGCACAGATGAGCAGATTGATAAACTTACATGCGTAAAGGAACATGAATTAGGTACACACACAATCAATCCTAATCTTCACTAGGGATGTGACTTTGATGTCGATGCTTTCAAAGCATTGATGTTTTTGTAGAAACATCAATGTATTAACACCTATGCTTTTTCCTTTCTGATGTTTTGTTTGTGAATGAAATATTCCCATGATGAGAATACTGTGAAAATTAAGATATGAAATAATAACTGATAGTAACAGTAATATTTGTGTGTTCGAATCAAAGGAATGCTGATTGCAGTACCTTCATCGACCAAACACTCTCGCTCGAGATGACCTTCATGCCTTTGTATTTTATCTTTCGTCTTATTAATTTTCCACATTGAGATATAGTCAACTAATATGCTATGAGGGTAGGATCTGCCCCTTCTCATACTCTTATTCAGGGAATTGACATACACAAACATTGTCAAATTAAATTTTAACGCAGAGGTTACTAATCCAGTCTAAAAACATCGATGGTTTTTAATCTATATGTTATGGACATCAATGTTTTGTTATCGATGTCACATCACTAATCCTCATTTTCGATTTTCTTTTTGGGTGAGTTATTGTACTACACTTTCCAAAAGTGATTTACAATTATTTTTAGTACAGAAGAATTAATTATTTCAAAATCTGGGACCCCCAAAGCACTATTTTTACTTAAATGAAAAAATCACTTTTTTGTCCAGCGTCACGTAATTTTGCTACTACAAACAATTTGTAGTACACAAGATTGTAAAATAATGTAAATTATGAAGAAATGTATGAAAAAGAAGACAATATTTGAAGAACAAAGCATGTAATGATTGTTTCCAGTTGAGAAGCTCCTATTCCACCAGAGCAGATGGTTGACGGCTAAGGCTGGATTAACCCTTGTGCCTTTGATCTATGTTCATGTGAAGGGTGTTCATTCACTCCATTATTCAATCATTAGTTTTGGTTTAGGGCGAAAAAAATATAAATTTAATTTTCTACTCAGAAAGTGTACTAAGCAAAACTTGCTAAGAAACATTTAATTTGACTTCTACTTTTTGAAAAAATTGTGTTTAATATTTAATGGTGTATATTGGGACTCTGTGGTAAAAGGCAAGCCATACAAAGGAACTTTATTAGTACTATTAGTACATTAGAAACGAGATCTAAACTTGGTAGCACCAATTGTGGATGTGACTTTTTTTTATATCATTTGAGCTAGTTGCATCCAATCATTATGAACATTATCTTCATCACTAGAAAGAGAAATCTAATAAATCTTCATTTCAAATTTCATATAACATGTAAATATTAATATTAAGTTTTAGGCACTGTTTCCAAGCCTTTTATAACATGTTTTCACGCAACTCCAGATGGGCACAAATGAGTATATAAACACTTTGCTTCAAGAAACGCGTTATTCTTTTTTGTTGGTTACAGTAACAATCATTTCCTTTATCTTTGAATCCTTGTTATCCTCTGTGACTATATAATTAAAGCGAATATTTTATGAATCTTTTCTAAAGCCTTTTTCAATTTGTCCTTGATCTGTCAGTACTCATCATGGGACCCACTTTGTTGAGTTCTTGAAACTGCATGTCCAATTTCGTCTATTGAGTGTAATATGATGAGAGGATACAATTTCTGCAATCTGCCTGTTCCAAAACCAGTTTCAGCTTGTTTAATTCTGTTGGTGTCTATGTTCAACCGCTACGCTGTTACTCACTCGACCAATTCTATTGCAATAATTAAGTTCTGACCGGCTGGTTGCACAAACAGAGAAGAGAATAGTAAAAGTGAGTTTCTCCTTGATGGGCCAAGGAGCAATCATTTCACCAGTCTATGTAGTCCACCACTAATAAATGTCAATCTCACTGACCCAGGAAGGGAAATGTGGCATGGAAGGACTGCATATGCAAAGTTCAGAGAGCGCATTTTCAACAGGATTATTTCTAGTGGACAGGAAAGAAGAACAAAGACCAACTGTTCCAGGAATTTCAATGAATTTGTCACACATTATTACTTGTCACCAAGCTTTGTGTCTAGAGTCCAGTAAAGTGAAATGTGAATTATGCTAACATATTCATGCTGGCAAGTTCAGCAGACCAACAAGCACATTATAACATGGTCCATAATCGGAGTGTACTGATAGTTGCTCTTAAGAAGAAAAGTTTCTATCAATATTAGTTTGCAGCAAGGGTTACTGGCTTCTTTCTCAATCACATTGAGCATGCAAGGGATTTTAATGATCTGCAGTCTAGTGTACGACGAGTGAGAATACACAGCGTTTAACGACCTTTTCTAGTACTTCTGTTTTTGTCTCAGTGTATTGTTCCAGACTTCTTTTGAGTTTTTTAATTGTGGGTGTGTGCCTTGGGGCAGCAGCTACATTCAGGTCTGTTGAGGGCCCCTTTTGAAGTTTTGTTTCTTGCAACCCACAGTGTATTGTCTTTGCTGCAAATAGCCGCAGGAGTGACTTTGGGGTTGGCAGGGAACAAAGATGTTGAGGCAGACCTTTTGGGTTGGGCAGGGAGGAATGTGGATGGGAGTTGTAGGGGAGATTTTAACAAAGTTACTTCTTTTTACACTACCTGTGGAATTCGTTCCTTGTCCTGTGTGGGAGATAATTGTGATGTCTGAATACCTAGAAAATGCCAGTTCCCTTCAGCTGTTCTTTAGTTGTATGTTGTTTGACTTTTCCACAAAAAGGTGGCTTATTTAGTTTTCCTTGCCTACAATATTATAATTCACATCAAAGTAGTGTATTAGTAAAAGTATTATAGTTAATTTTCTTTGCAGTTTTAATATTCGTAATTTTTTTTAAATTTTGATATCACATCTCTTCTAACTTCTGTTTTCTTTTCTGGTGATTAATTCAAAATTAATTACTAAAACAAGTATAATTAAATTAATTCAATCAATCGTTGCAAATTAGGTCCTGTGATTGACCTTTTGTTATCCCTCTTTTTCATTGTCCACAAATTCATTTCATTATTTGCATGACGAAACAGTCCCTGGGTAATTGGTCTTTCAGTTAATGTAAATGTAGTGCAGTGGAACTGCACTACATTTACAAGTAATCCAAAATGTAAAGAGTATCTTGTGCTTCTGTTACTTTTTCATTGATTTATATCAATGTATTTTTTTACAATTGTATATCTTTTCATTTTAGAAGAATCAGTTTGCTTGATATATCTGATTGAGATTGTGTTTAATTTGTGTAAATGAATTGTGTTTGAGAGGAACTGATTTAGTGGAGCCATGAACTTTTCCTTTTCATCTTGCTGATATGTAACTATATTGTTCTTGAATTAAGCAGTATTACATCCTTTTTAGTTATTACAATTCTTAAAAGATCATTCTTCTGCTTCATAGGATCGGACAAAAAATGCCCAGTTTATTATTATATCATTGCGATCCAATATGTTTGAATTAGCTGATCACCTCATTGGAATTTTTAAGACATGGGATTGCACAAAGAGTGTTACTATTAACCCCAAAGCATATGGAAAGAACAGTAGACCAGTGGTAAGATCTCATTTTTATTTTAGCATGATTTGTTCGCTCAGATTGTAAATCTGTAACGCTGAAATATTTTTAATTTTGTTTTAGGAACCACCAATAGTTACATGAAATATAGAGAATTATTTTAGGGTTTGAAAGGTATCTTGTGTTGCTCTTCACTGTAAATTCACCATAGCAGTTGGTGCTTCAAGAAGAATATGGATACTTAAATGAATAATGAAGAACAACAGAAACTCTTCAAATGTACAATTTTTCTTTCTTCATTTATTCGTGTATTGTTTTAGACTTCACAATTATTATATTTTGTAATAAAATATGTATATTATAGAATAAGTAGT